ACTGTGATGTGGTCTGGCCTGTTTACTGGGAATTGGGGGGAGGGGGCATCTTTAAATAAGTTTCCTTCGATTGTTTGTAAACTGCTTATGCAGTCCGGCCAAAGTCCCCCGAAAAGTGTTGTGATGCGCATTTGATCATATCCACATGTTAATTTGCGCAATATAAATATCAAATTATTATTATTATTATTATTATTATTACTATTATTATTATTATTATTATTATTATACAGTGCTTTGTTTCACCATAAGGTCTACCTAACTTGAGAATATGAGCCGAATCGATTTTTTTTGCTGTTGCGACCATATTTTGAAAATGTCCGATTTTTGGCCACATTTGCTCTTAAACTATCAAGGTGAATCGAAGTAAAATGTGAGAAATTATAAGAGGCCCCAAGCAGTATGGGAAGAGCCGAGAGAGAAGATGCTGTTTACCACTTTTTGCCTCAGCATCATTAAACGCCGTGACTCTGAAATTAAAGGATTAAAAACAAGGCCGAGAAAATAGTTTGGTTAAACACTAAAATTGGATAAATTGGTATTTAATTTGTTTTTCTTTATTTCCTTTGTGACCGAAAACAGATAAATCAGTAATCAACTCACTTCAGTTCCGCCTAACGCAAGGAATTATACAACACAATAATTAATACAAGGAATTGCTCAACCCACCAGGTTACTGGCAACTTTTTTTGCGAAACTGAAATTGTTTGTAAACTCATTGTCATCTTTCAGCAATTTGTAAAAGGCATTTTACATATTCTCTTGTACTAAATTTTGTGACTTGGATTAACTCTAGGGGATTTGAAAGTAAAAGAAGAAAAGTAAATTTAATTCGGGCCTAAGATATTGTAAATCTGAAATATCAAGACTTATTATCCAACTACACCTAGACGAGTACAAATAACGCCATAGACGACTACAAATATCACGCGGTATTTGTACTCGTCTATTGTAGTACCAGTTAAACAGGTTTTACTCGCATCGCGCAAGCGAAGAATTGGATTGTAGTTACGAAAATAAAACAATATTTAGATCATATTTCCGACGACGAAGTGTCAGAATGGCTGGCAAATATAGGCCCAAGTTCATTAGATGAATCGAACGAAGAAAAACAGCTCGACCAGAAAATTTCTTCATTTAATGAAGAAAATAGAAACAGCGACACAACAACGCGCCAATTCCGTTTCGCTTCGCATACCTCTGTCATGCACTCCCCGTAAACTGGCTCCAGTGTCTCGAAATGTTCGATAAGGTTTGCGTGACAAGCAGACCCACAAGTCCTGGGCCACAATATTGCAAGAACAAGTGTCTTTACCAGAAACACTGGCACTTTTCCTCTGTATTCAATTTTTTCGTTTGGGACGTTGAACTATGCTTGAATACTTTTTTGGGGGAATTTTTCCTCTTTTTCATTCACTGATCTGTTGACATTTTACAGGCTTCATTAAACAAGCTTTCAAAGCTTATCTAATCAGTGGTCTGTAATTTTTTAACATCTTGATTAGTGCAGGAACATGGATTGTGTATTTGCTTCAAAAGCCGCAGCCGTTGACTGCCCTCCGCTGATCTAAATGTTATGTAAAGATTGCGTGACAGGCGGCAAGGGCAAGCGTCGTTACCATAGACAAGAGCATTCTTCCTTCATATTCAGTACTATTTGTTTGGGAACCAAAAATTGTAGTTGAATGCTTGTGGGGGATTTTTTCC